CATTTCAAATGATTGCATGAGTGGGACCTGTTGCCTACAAGCTTCAGTTACCTTATTCTTCAAAAATCCATCAAGTCTATTTACTCAAGAAACATGTAAGATCTCTTTCTGCAGTGAGTTCATCCTTGCCAAAATTTGATGAAGATGGTAAAATCTTGTTAAGGGTGTGTTTGTTTTGGGGTTTGAATTTTGAGTTGGGATTTGAATAGTAAAAATTTTGAATTTGAATAATTGTATGATGTGATATAAATAGGTGATGATGTGATGTTTTGAATGTAAAATTGATTTTTAGTATAATATAAAAAATAAAAAATAAGTATTTGATTTGATGTTTTTGGGGGAAAATTTTTGGATGAATAGTGGGATTTTGTCAAAATCCATCAAACGAACACACCCTTAAAGCATCTTAAAATCCTTGTTCGGCGCATAGTTAAGAAGGGTTCTTCATCAGCTACTCAACTTTTGGGGCACTAGGCTCATCTTCCTGTGACACCACGATTGGTAAGCTATGCAAAGTCGGGCAAGTCAGGATCATAGACTGGTTCTACAGGTCAATATAAGTCCTTCCAGCGCGCTTCTGTCTTCATTCACGCACACCCTGAGAAACTTTCCAGGGGGTCATCCATCATCAAATTACTCTATGGCAATCACGCTTAACTCTAGAGTTTTTTCAGTAGAACTTCCGAAAAGAAATGTGCACATTGTTGACATGAGTCTATTCAATTCATTTAACCTCTAATCAACTTCAAATAACCCAATACCGGCTCATTCAAACACGGGAGTTGGCCAAGCAACGGCCCAACCCTGGGGTATCACACCTTCTAGAAGCTGAGGCGACTTTGGAATCTTTTGAAGAAATTCATAATTGCTTTCCTGAATTTTTGTCTTGAGGACAAGACACTTTTTAGGGGGGGGAGCAATGTCATGAAATTATTTTCTGCTATTTCATATCCTTTCTAAAAGCATAGTTCTTTTCATAAAAGCGTGTGTAGGGAACTCTATAAATACTATTGTTTTACCTTATAAGGCATTTATAAAAAATAATAACATATTTACCTTGCTTTCTTCTTCTCTCAAACCTTCTACAACCTCTCTGTTACGCAGTGCATGACATACATCTAGTACCATCTTATATGAATTTAAATATTATTAAAAGAGCTTGGTTTGAGCAAAGAAAAAGCTACAAAAATAATAACAAGTTATGTCTAATTTTGGCCAAGAATCTAATATAGTAATCAAAGTAAGCTTATTAATAGCCGATCAAAAAAAAAAAGTAAGCTATTAATAGCCACTTTCATTTTATTTGAGAATGCATCGAGAAGAAAGAAGTAGTAGAAGTTTTGTTGGTTCCAAAAGTAATTTGGTTCAGGGTTCCAAAAATAAGAATGCGTCGGAATCAAGCGATTTGTGTTGATCAATGGATTCAAATTATGTTGCCTAAATTTTACAAGCGGAGGATATGAGATAGTTATCCACTGAAAGCCGAATTGATGATCAATTAAGTTGCTAAAGTAACCAAAGATAAATTTTGTTTGGGGGATTTTCCTTTAAATGCACTATTCATCCAAATTTTTTCTCCCAAAAAAATCAAATCAAACATCTATTTTTTTATTTTTTAGTTATATTAAAAATTAATTTTACATTCAAAACATCACATCAATACTCATTTATATCACATCATACAACTATTCAAATTCAAAATTTTTACTATTCAAACAAACACACATAATGCCTAATCAAGAGAATAGCATGAAATGCATAAACAATCTAATTATTCTTTAAAATAAAGAGTTATTCCGAATCTAAAACAAAACCTAATAAGCATCAATGGCTAAGTTTTGATCAATAACCTCTTGTGGATAAATATCAACCCTTCTTTGGTTGAGATTTTACCCATACTTTTACGCTTAATTATATCTTCCCAAGGTCTAGAAAAACCCTATCTATTGAGGCCTTGGCAAAGCTTCATTAATTAGTTCAGTTCGTGATAATCCTCTTTGTTAGACTCAAGTCAAATGTTGTTAAAACACTATTGGGTTTAAGGAAAAAAAATTTCTTTTGGCCTATTGGATTTGGACATGATCTTATAAATTCGATAGTCGAATCAATATCATAAAAATAGCGGTTGCAGGTTCCCACGTTACCAAAAATTATATATTTATAAAAGTAGCGAGCATTGTATGAAGCAATTGAAAAATTATTGTTTTCAAATATGCTAGCTAGCTAGTTTTAAGTATATCGTTGCATAATGAATTAAAATGATAGCAAAATATTTTAAAAGTGATGTTCTTCCAAAATGATCTTATTGAGCTTCTTTTCTCTTTCTTGTTTTTTTTTTTTTTTTTTTTTAAAAAAAAAAAAAAGGAAGTTAGTGTTGCTCCTCCTTTTTCCAACAACAATACATGCCTTCAATCAAATACCCAATCTCCAATGAATTATGCAAAACTGCAGATATGATGAGACACAAATCAAAATCAATCAATTAATTAATTACATCATGTAACGACATCATGATCATCTTCATCGTCTTTGTTCTTGTTCTTCCGAAAGGGACAAGTGATCAGAGCCAGGAACTACCTAACGACAATTAACAACATTAACAGAAATGAAAAAAACAAATAACATGAAGACGATGGATTTCAAATGATGTCAGTCAAGCTTGTCCCATTTATCAGTGGTGAAGGAAATGTAAGCAGAAGCCCTTCTGTCGATCCCTGGCTCTGCCACCCACCTCCCCCTGTCCTCGTCGCCTGGATACACCTTGTAGTAACCCTTCACGTACTGTTCCTCCTCCCTCCAGCTCCGGGACCTCCCAAAGCAACTCAGTATCGACATGTTTGACCAGCACGACCCTGCCGACTTCTTGCTGTGCTTTGCCATTCTCGTCTTCTTCGAATGCTCAGTCAGCCCCTCCTCGTCTTCTTCCAGTTATTTATAGCGTTCAAGAAGACTCCGCGACCGTCAATCTCAATCTCATCGACGGCCGTGATTCATTGCAGCATCAATCTATGTATATATATATATATGTTAGAGGGGTAGGCTAAGCAGAACATGGATTGTCGACCGTCGGTTTGACTGAAAACACAGTTTGCTTAATGGAGGATGCTTTCCTACTGCTACTACATCTGTAGCCCTTCTACCTTTTTATTTATTTTTATCCTTTTTAACTTTCATATTCTTTATTCTTAATTTCAAATTTACAGTTCAAAAATAAATTCTACTTTTAAAAAACATACAACCGATAATAATAATAATAAGGTGCAAGTTGATGGTAATTGAATTCAACCCATTCATTTTAGGTGAATCTTTTTTTTTTTGCAGTTTTTCTCCTTATTTATTTTTTTACAGTATTAGTATTAGTATTAATATTAAATTAGCTTCTGAAAATAATAAAAATAATAATAATAATAATAATGTGAGCTTCCTTCCAACAATGGGTGCAAGCTGTCTTGTGTCAACCTTTAGGGATTCTTTCCTTAAAATATAAACTTTTAATTTGTCTCTGTTAATTGTACTTACAACCTACGGAACTCATATCATATGTATTCTGGATCCTTTGATTGCTTTATACACTTTTTTTTTTTTTTTTTTTTTTTTTAAATTTGATCAGCTGCTTTATACACTTTTGTGTGCAAGTACAGTGTGTAGTGTGTTGTTGTTTACAGCAGAAGAATAATGATTATATATATGTGCATTCAAAACTAATTTAGGACCATCTCAATCTTCATTTAAGCATCTTGTTAGGCTGCCTGCCTTTTTTCCTTTTTTTTTTTTTTTTTTTGCTTTCTTTCTTTCTTTCTGGTAAAGTAATTAATTAACTAAGTACGTGTGAAAGCTTATTGTTGTTCATCAGTCCTTTTTTATATTTTTGTAGCAATATTTTTGACAAGTAAAGATACCAAAGAATTTTCATGATCTTATATATATATATATATATTTACGCGGCTTCGATTAGTGAGCAGCATGCTTATTAGTTTCAATAGCACACCGAATTCTAACAAATAACAATTGTTCTATGTATTGTTGTATGTATTTTTATTAGAGTGAATAATATTATTTTATTTAATTTAATTATATGTTTACCATATACTGTATTATTATAATCTTAAATAAAATAAAGCCCTGTATAATAATGTTATAATAAAATATTATTATTATTTTTTTTTTTATAGACGATATTAAATAATACGAAAGTATTGTTAATGCTAAAAGCCTATTGTATCTTTAATTAATAACTAATCAATTAAAGTAAAATATTGAATTATTTTATCATATGATTATGTAATTTATTAGAATAATAGATGTATTATAATCCTATCCTAAAAAATAAACATTAATTTATATATAATATGTTGCCCGTATATATATCAAACAACCATCCAGATATGTAACATACTATTCGGTGGTGTGGGGTTGGACGTGAATTTGCCTGTCGGACCTAGTTTGCAGGTAGTAGGTTGTGCCAAAAAAAAAATAATTGAAATAATTATGTGATATATTCCCTCCGTCCCATAACTAAGTATCCGTTTGCTTTTTGCACGGAGTTTTAGAATTTGTGTAATATGTAATATATTATATATTGTAAGGGTATTTGTAATGTTAGTACAGTTACTTAAAAAAAAAAAAAAGAATGGATACTTGTTATGTAACGGAGCAAAATTGATAATTTGTTATAGGAGCGAAGGAGTATTATAAATAGATATTGATAATAATAAAGAAAATAAAAAAATAAATATTTAATGTAATATTAAAAAAATAATTAAAAAAAAATCAATGAATGGTAAAAGTCTACCAAGATCCTCCCCACCAAACCAAACACGACATAGGCTCTCTTTAGTTACATTATCAAAGTTATTTTTACATTATTAACCAAAATTTCTTTTTCTATAAAGCATTATATTCAAAGATTATTTTTAACATCAGATACAATTCCTATTTAAATCACATAAAAGTATAAAACACTATTTGAAAAATAGCATGACTCCTCTGTAAAATAAACATTACTTTCAATGTCTATATATTATTCCAAAACTTTTAAATCTAAAAACACAATCAAAGACAGCTATTTGCCCTATTTCTTATGGTCATAAGCTGCTATATTTTGGGGTTCACATTCGGGACTAAATAGTCGAACCAGCAAAGCAGTGGTTGTGCTCATCGAGACAGCTCCACAGGCAGCCCATCTTAGACTTCGAGGAGTTGTAATTCTCGGACCTGCATCAGCATCAAGAACTCAAACACTTGACCCTCGAGTCAATAAAGACGACAAACACATTGATATATAAATGCATTTCATAATTTCAGAGAATTATAGACACTGGGACATGAAGAAGTATTCCTACACAAGTAAATAACTGCTCAGTTCATTTAAATATCCGAAACCATCAAGGAAATAGGAAACAAGTAGATCGTTTAGAGGGGGTGGTTCATTCCCATTTGAAGCCCTATAAGGCTCCCATTTCTTTTCTCGGATTTACATTACCTCATTAAAATTCGATTGCATGCTTATCATAATGTTGACAATGTGAAATTCCCTACATATGTAACCTATATACTTCATTCTTATCCCAATTCTAAGAATCACAACTCCAATTCCCATACGTAAAAACATTTGAATTTAGAAACAAATGATGAATAAACTTGAGCCAAAAAAAAAAAAACCCCACATGAATCTATAGTAAAAACACTTAAAACTAGTTTACTACATGTTTACTGTGGTTTCTTCCTCATCTACAAGCTCAACTCTGCATTTGTCCATAAATATTTAGATTTGACTCAAATTAGGGCAGAAAAATTAAATTTCAAAACCAACAATGTCAAGCAGTAAAGAATGGAATCCGAAAACAGTTACATCAAACATAAGCAGATCATATCACAAGTTTTGAAAAAAAAAACAAACCTAATCAAACATACCATAATGCAAACGGCAAAGGACCCAAAAACCCAATGCTCCTCCCACAGAACAAATGCCAGCCGTTTGCCTCATCAATCGAGAACAGGGCTTTCCATCTGACCTCATCAATTCTCCATCCGAAAATCCAAGAATGCGCCTTAGCGCCATCCTGGAGTCTTAAAAACTATATGTCTTGTTGTTAATTTCTTCCTATTTCGGGTTACCAAGGTACGAATATCAGATTAAAGTTGAAGCACAAAACAAATTCACACTCCAAGAGACTACCTGCTTTCGAATAGGAGTCGACTAAAACATCAGAATCCATTGAAATCAGTACATGAGTGTTTAAATATCAAAATAAAAATTTTCAGAACTGAATTTAGTCGGGCATAATGTCGAACACCTCGACAGCAACGTAAAAAAAAAAAAAAAAACAAACCAAAATACCTCAATCTAACGCTTCCTGTCGGCCTTGACCTTGTGAATCCGAAAACTGGTAACACAATCCTCTCAATCTCTTGAATACCCACTGACGGAACACCAAGTCGAGCCGATGCTATTTTTCGCAGACGATGTCAACAATACTGACCTTCAGAATCAATACGGGTGTAACCCGAAGCAATATCCTGGGCCGAGGTGGGCCGAGTCCATAAACTTAGCTCAATTCATAATCCACCCAAAGTTAAGAGCGGCTCTATGGAAATTGAGGTTTATTGGAATTCTTTTTATATCTAAAAAAAAATGTAAATAAATAAAATAAAATAAAAAAATTGAATAAAATATATATAAAAAAATCATAAAGAGTTTGGCCAACTTGCTTATGGATTTTTATAAAATTGATAGGATCATATTTATTAATTTATATGAATTTTCCTAGAGTAGATAGGATTGTGAAAAAAAAAATTATTTACATGGATTTGAAATAATTTTTGCTGAAAATATTGATAATGCAAATATATATTGAACACACTTATATATAAAAATATATACTCAAATATTTTTAACAAATTATTCATATAAGAGAAGTTACATATGAAATTTTAAAATTTACAAAAATTTAAAAATAAAATAAGTAAAAATCCACTTGTAGCCACATCATCAACATGTCACTACCGGTGACGAAAGACCATTTCCGTGGAAAAATTAATTGTGGAAAAATTTTCATATAAGTCATGACAATATGTCAAAGTGAAAAAATAAATAAATAAATAAATAAAATAAAAATTACCTAGTAAAAAATAAATAGTTACCTCAAATATAAATAAAATAATACTACATCCTCCCACATACAGTGTTTGTTGCATTTTAGACAAGGTATTTTATAGGAGGGGTGTAATTAATAGATACTTTTATAATATAAATAATTATAAATTAAGATTAAGATAACTAATTAGTTTAATTAAAATTTAAAAAAAATTAAAAGTTTAAAATGGATTAGAGTGTGTAATCATTTTTTTAAAAAAAAGAAAGTGGCATGTTATATGGGACGGACAGAAACGGCAAAGTGGACATGATATGTGGGACGGAGGGAGTAATAAACTTTTTTTTTAAGTTTTGAGAATGAGTAGGAAATCCAGAAATAATCATAACTATTGTTTAAACTAAGGTTGTGTTTGATACAGAAAAATGAGACCAGAGAAATAGAAATGTATCATTTATCTTGTTTGTTTGAGTTGAATTTGAAAAATAAATTATTTTCATTTATCTGTTTTAATTTATCTCCCATATGCAGAGAAACAGAGAGAAATGATATTGTAATATTTTTTTTTTTAATTTTTTTTTTGTACTATTTAATTTTTATAATTTTTTTAAAATTATATTATTTCAATTTTACAAAAAAAAAATTAATTTATTGCTAAAGTATTTAATTTTTATTATCTTTTAAAAAATTATACTAAAATATAATTTTAAAAAATATCGTATATAATTTATAATTTTTTTAAAAAAAATCACTAAAAATATTTTTAATAAATTCTCACTCGTTAAAACTCTTTTTTCATCCAGTTAATCATTTATTCTTATTTGATCATTCGTATAGTTGTATTTTTTTTTTTATACTTCTCAACTGAATTATCTATTCAATTCCATTTCTCTATTCTTGTTTATCTGCAATTTTATTCTCTGTACCAAACGCCCCGTAAAGAGTTATTCCAAATCTAAAACAAATCCGAACAAACATGGCTAAGTTTTGATCATCAATAACCTTTTGTGGATAAACACAAACTCTTCCTCGTACGAGATATGGAATTGCAACAATGGCTTTAACGCGAGACCTACTAGGAATAATTTAGCTATGATAATTTAATTAGCTGATATTCCGAACGATCAGATCAGCACATAATCAAAACATTGTATAGAAACAGACTATTAAAGTTTTAAACAACTACTGCATCGAAATACAAGCTTCAGCAAATAATAAAAACACTGTAACTGAACAATTCAAAACCATGACAGCACCTATAATGTGAGATATATATCGAGAATCATTTTGTTGTCTTGATTTAATTCGTGAATACTATCCTGAACAATCGGCATTCTTGTGCTTTATTCTCAGTTTGTGGAGTAAAAGATAATCGAAACACCAATTAAAATTTGTATCATGAGATATACCAGAAATTGTTTCACCATCCTGATGTAATTCATCGATATTCTGAACTACCAGCAATCCTGTGGTTCAATTTCAATTCATAAATTAGTAGATGATCAAAACATCGATTCAAAACTGTAAAAGTGTGCTAAAGACTGTAATGGAAGATATACCAGAATTGTTTTGCAGTCCTGATTTAATTCACCACTTGATTTGAACCTTAGAAGAAGAGATTGAATTCAAGACCAGGCGAGCTTTCATCCTCCTTGCGGGATGTTTCTAAAGTAATATTTTTTTCTGACTAAAGAAACTGAACAGAGTCATTGTGAAAATTAATAATGATGACTGCAGAGGAGTGGCGATGAGGTATCATTAACATATTACAGAAATGAAATAACAAAATACGACAAAAACAATAACAACAATTTTCCACAGCCTAAAAGTCCTGTTTCTGCATCTTTCGACCACTTCTATGTCTCTACAAAAAGATAAAAACCAATAACACCTTGGGAAGGAAACAGACTTTTCCTTCTCAAGGGAAGAATCAAAATATTGTAAAATGCTAAAGACATGTAATCCTGTAGTGGCTAACATTGGTTATTCTATCTAATTTACTCAACCAATCAGCCAAAGAAGGAGTTAAGCTGCCACTGAATCTCTTCTACTCGTATTCGCAAAGAAATTGAGTGAAATGCCGTACAAAAAAACAAAATTTCCATAATTGCAGTTTTCATTTTAAGGTAGAAATGTAATGAAATGAAATTTTTATTAATCTCATTTCTGTATTTAACATTAACTTAATTCCGTCGAGTTCCAAATTGGATATAGACGTCCATTTATAATTATAACATGCAAATGTCTAAAAACCTTTGAGAAAACGCAGAAATCATCATATCTTATCAGCCTAAACTCAGCAACAAGAATGCCTGAAGAAAGTCCTGTGGTATAGAAGGGTTCCTGAAAAGATGAACTCCAACGAAAGCTTGAAAATGACTCTACAATGAGCCTTTTTTATCATATGTTTGTGTTACTTAGCTAAAACACTTAAAGAACAACAAAGTAAATTCTAAGCTTCATTTATTTCATCATTCTTAGTGCATCCATTAATTCATATTTTATGAGGAATTAAAAACAATTTGCTTGACTATATCATAACTTGTTCTTATAACCTTGGATTTCAAATGCTAAGATTCAACAATCGCTTTTTATATTTGTTCACTGGATATTGAACAGCACAAAGACCAGCATCCAATTTCAGTCCAAGAAATCAACAGTGATGCAAATAATTAATCACCAATTAAATATGCAAAATAAGGACTCACTAGATCAATTTCTTAGATAATTCAAGGCGATCTTTTAGGAGATTCAGCTCCATCTTGAGGTTTGAGATTTTCCTTCTTCTCCATAACTTCTTGTATACCTTCTTGATATCCTTCAATGAAATTTCTCAGAGCATCTCTATAAGCAGAAGCTCTTGTCATGTATATACGCTGCAGCGCTGGCCTTAAAGTCTCCATTCCCCCTCGTGCAGCCACAGCTATATAATGAAATCAGAATTGCGTGTGATGAAAACTTGAAAATGCGGATAGATAAAAATAGTCATACAGGATGGTTTATCAAATTTATAAAAGTTCATCCTCTAAAAGCGTTATTTAAGTATTAAATTGTTCCCTCCCACCAACTCAAGTGGACATTAAAACATAATTTCAGTCTCAGCAAGATGTATATTGGTGAACACAATAATTCGTACAAGATTTCTGAACAATCCATACCCAAAAAACTTCTCCATATGCCTAATACAATATGATTCAAGGATACTCTACATGAAAATATAAAAACACTCCTTGGAGTTGCACTAATTTTTAGATTGAGGATTACAGAAGGAAATGAAAACAAAAGTGATTCAAATATTGGATTGACGTTGAATACTCCAAGGACAAGAAAATCTGATGGAAACATTATACTCCCTCCGTCGACAAATTAATGTCATGCGTTCCTATTTGGAGTGACCATCAATTATTGTCCTCTTCCTATAGGACAAGAAAATCTGATGTGAACATTATGCTCCCTCTGTCCAACAATTATTTCCTCTTTATTTTTTCATACACAATTTTTTTTTTTTTGTCATCCTTTATATACTCTTTCTTTTTCTATACAAGATAAAGGGCAAATTCGTAAGCTAATTGCCTAAAGTATATAAATATCAATTAGGACAGTACAAATGGACTGAGGGAGTATTATTTTTCTGTCCAAATAGGTCAGAAAAAGGTAGACTATCTTGTCTACAACATAATTCAACCGAATTTTATCTTTTCCATCAACTTAATCAGCATTAAAGCAACACTACCTTCAAAATTTATTCCTATTTCGTATGTTTTTACTAACATATTAAAACCAGTCAAGCACAAAAGTTACAAAATCTACAAAAGTTTCATTTTGTTATTATGTTTTCCAAACATTATATTACCCTAGTCAATTTCTCCTAAAGTCCTCAAACAAAACACATTGTGTTAATATCTCATATTGCATATCATATTAAAAACATGCAATGCTCCTTACCAAGGTCCTCAAGTGTGGATGGTTCTTTATCCTTTGGTGCACCTTTCCCTGCAATTGGCACATCATCACTCCCCTCTTTCTTCTTGTAATCTTGTGGCCTGAGCTCCGGACCGATGTCCCTAACCCAACTAGCGGCATAAAGTCTAGATGCTTTCTTCAACACCTACCAACACACCCCATAGACTTTATCCTTCAGCCACAAGAATTTGATCAGCGTGCAAATGTGTTCAATATTGAGAAATCATAGAACTAACAAGAAAGCTATCTTTCAATGTGAGTTTGGGAAGTGGTTTGATGTGAGGAGGATCAGGCAAAGAAGACGGGAATGCTATTTCTTTGAGATCATATCGAACGTAATCATAAATCTTCTTGCACGCCACTCTAAACTTCATTCTTGGCCCAGTATTTTGCGCCCACAACACCTACCTGTTGTACAAAACAACAAGAAGGCAGCAAAAGGCAAATATATAACATAAACCCTCATGGTTCATAAAGTTATCAAGTCATAGCTATTAGATGCTCCATAGCGGCGAGTCAACACTAGAGCAGCAAACGAAATCACTATAAACAGTCGACAACCAAATCAAATGGATAATTATTTGGCGTAAAATAGGTGTAACTAGACCGATATCAAACAATTTACCAAAGAAAAAAAAATGCTGAAACACAGCTCTCAGCGCTGTCTTCCAAATCATCTCCGAAATGGAATTGATATAACAAATCAATAAACACGTGTGTAACTTGTGTAAATGCTTGAAAAATTCTCAGAGAATGATTGAATATACAATTTTCTCACACATTTGCACGACAAAACTGCAGTAGCACTGTAGCAGCGAGAAAGACGCGACAGCCGATGGCTGTGTTTACTTGAGCTATTTTCCCCTGATTTTACTATGCGTTTATTATTCAAAAAAACACCCTCCAGTCCCTTCGGCCAAAGGACAATGAAATGACAGCGGCAGCGACCACCGGCGGAAGAAACTGAAATTAAAAATAAAAAAAAAGATAACAAAAATGTTAAAATAAACTCGATTTCCTTCGTATACGGTTACGGTGGAAGTACCAAACAGAGAAATAAATAAAATCAGAGAAAGAATCAAGAGGAGAGGAGGAAAAAAGAATAAGCAAAAGAAACAAACGCACCGGATGTTCTAGCTGCCGGCGGCGGACTTCGTCTCCGAGAGAAGTTTAAAACTTCAATTTTAATGTAAAATTCTTATGATGGGTTTGTTTGTAGGTTTTTGTTTTGAGCTTTAGACGATGTTTGGGGAAGAGCTTATTTAAGAGATCAGACAAACAGCTATATCTGGTAAATTAATTTTTCCAAAAATTCATCTGCTGTTTTAGAACAAAATTTTTGATTTATTTTTTTTATTTATCTTTAAAAATTAATCATTTATTTCATATATGTTAAATACTATTATTTTATTTATATATAAATTTTTTTATATGAATTTTATATCAAAAAAATAAAATAAAAATAATAAATTAGTTACTAATTAAAATAATACAAATATATAAATATTCATTATTTATCAAAATAACTGAAATCATATTTTCTTTTTACTATTTTTTATATCTCTTTCAAAAATATCAATATAAAATAATCACACTACTATCAAAATAACTTTGTTTTATTATTTTTTTTTGTGAACTATTAATGTATCATTATATATAAAATAAAATAATAACTACATCAAAATCATCTTATAATTCAAACCAAACCGGGCCATATTGGGTAAAATTTGAAAGGCCATACCAACCGGCTCGTAATTGCTGCTTCTAATTCTCCCTATCACCTAAAAATATGTTTATTTTCTTATTTATCATTTTTAAAAAATATATTATTGTTTTTCTACTAGTAAAAAATCATAAACTAATAACAAAAAATACATTTTAAAACTATTTTTTGTAACCGAATGAGCATATTTTATTGTGACATTGAGATAGCGTAAAATGAAGTCTGATTTGGGTTAGGGTTACGAAAATTGGAGAGCTAGCTCGGCCCGCAGTCTTATCTATTCTAGCCACATTGGCCCGGCTCATTTACTGAAACAGGAAGTCATGCGACGTGCACGTGACCACCAAAAAAGGGTCAAAACTGATCTGACTGAGTACCATCTCCTCCTCCGCCGCGCTGTCCGGCAGCCATTTTCGTCAGTATTTTATGCTTCTTCAACTCGTCTTCTTTGCATAGTTTAATTCGCAGCCGTGTCAGTATCCACTGCCAAGTTTATTATATTGTTACAATTCCCTTCTCAATGATTAATTCTGCTCAAAACCCTCAAAAATGGCCGCTTCAGACCCCACCGCCGCCTCAAACCCTACCCCCATCACCGCGGCGGAACTCCGGGAGGAATTCTCCCACCATGACCCCTCCATTGCCCGCATAAACAACGGAAGCTTCGGTTGCTGCCCGGCCACCGTAATCGCCGCCCAGGACCGCCACAAGCTCCTCTTCCTCCGGCAGCCGGATTCCTACTACACCAACGACCTCAAGCCATCCATCCTCCGCACGCGCCGCCTAATCCAAACCTTAATCAACGCCGACCACGTCGATGAAGTCTCGATCGTCGACAACGCCACCACCGCCGCCGCCGTCGTCCTCCAGCACATCACCCGCACCTTCTTCTCCTCCGATCTCCATTCCGGCGACGCCGCGCTCATCCTGCACTACGCATACGGCGCCGTTAAGAAGTCCGTACAGGCGTACATCTCACGCGCCGGCGGGCACGTGATCGAGGTCCATCTTCCTTTCCCCGTTAAATCCAACTCCGAGATCATCCATGAATTCCAAAAAGCCCTCCATTTAGGGAAATCAAACGGCCGGAAAATCAGACTGGCAGTCATCGACCATATCACCTCAATGCCCTGTGTCGTCATCCCTGTCAAGGAACTGGTGAGAATGTGCAGGGACGAAGGCGTCGACAAAGTTTTCATCGACGGCGCCCACGCAATTGGAAACATCGAAATCGATGTCAACGACATCGGCGCAGATTTCTACACCAGCAATCTACACAAATGGCTCTTCTGCCCGCCCTCAGCTTCCTTCCTCTACTGTAAAAAGTCGAATAAACTATCCAACTTACACCATCCAGTGGTGTCCCTAGAGTACGGAAATGGCCTGGCAATGGAGAGCTCGTGGGTCGGGACTAGGGATTACAGCGCGCAGCTTGTCCTGCCGGAGGTGATGGAATTTGTGGATAGGTTCGAGGGGGGGATCAAGGGGATCATGAAGAGAAACCATGAAACAGTTGTGGAGATGGCACAGATGTTAGCAGAAGCATGGGGGACTGAATTGGGGGCGCCCCCAGAGATGTGTGGGAGTCTAGCTATGGTGGGGATGCCACCTCGTTTGGGCATTGGGAGTGATTCGGATGCATTGTTGTTGAGGAAGCATTTGAGGGAGTGTTATAAAGTTGAGGTGCCAATTTACTTCCTGGCGCCATTGGAGGGGCAGCTCGACTGGCGCCGGAGGATAACCGGGTACGCCAGGATTTCTCATCAAGTGTATAATGTGGTTGAGGACTACTTTAGATTTAGAGATGCTGTTAAGAAGTTAGTGAAAGATGGATTTACTTGTGGGCATCTTTCCAAATAGGAAGGTACTATTTCTTTGTGAATTTTGTTGGTTGTTAATTGGGGTGATTTGTGATGTTAGTTATGTATACTTGGTGACACGAGGCTTCGAGTTTTGGTGGTTTGATGAAGAACAGAGGATGAGAAGGAGAGGAAATCATTGTCAATGTATAGTTTCTTCTGAATAGCTTAATCTAATACTCCCTCCCAATACAATAGTCTTGTTTACCATTTTTGTCCGTCTCAAAACAATTTCTATAAATAATCATATCATCGTAAAACTACCCTTGCTTTTTCATTTTTATTATACAATTACCACTATTTTTTACACTAATACACTTACAAGAACAAAAAATTATTTTATCTATATTTTTTACCAACTAGATATATAATATCAATATTCGTGTCCAACCCAATTAAGACTATAGTTCAGGCACGGAGGGAGTATTTATTAGTAGGCTGGAGATCTGATCTGTGCTGATCCGATCAAGTCAGCATGGTGCTAACCGACATATATTTATATGTATCTCAGCATATAATGTGTTATAAGATAGTATATGTTAGAATTATAATATAATATATATTGCATTAAAATATGCCGAGACATATATAAATATATGCCGGTTAACCTGTGGCATACACTTACGGTATGAATTTGTTTTACCAAACATAATAATTAATTTCATTTTGCTAGCATTTCTCTTCAATTCCATTCTAACTCTATTTTGCCTATCACTAGATATACATACCATAAATAATTTTTCTGTTAGCTAACAAGCAACACTACAATCTATTTTATTGTTACACAGAAGTGAGAACTGATGTGAGTTGAGGTTCACTATTATGGGAACAAAGCATTTTAATGTGTGATTGGCATGTTTCTGTAGGCATCTTCATTATCCCGTCCTCACAATTTTCAATTAAAATACACTATTTCTTTCTATAAAATATCACATCAAACCGCTATTTAAATCAAAATTCAAACAAAAAACCCACAAAACTCCAAAAGAAACAGAAAAGTTAACGGGACAAAATAATAATCAGAAAATATTTCTGCAGATTCTGTATGTCAGGGTTACTAAATATCAACATGAAGAAGTTGACATGATTTTGTTAAGTTATGACATGTATGGGTAATTCCTAGCAGAAATGCCATGGTTCTTGAGATGAAGCAGACCAAGATAAAAGTGCCAAAGGGACATGAAGGAGTGATGAACAGCAGGTAGAGAAGTGGAGGAAGAAGGTAATCTTAAAAAGCTAATTTTATTCTTGGAGAAATCACATGATGTATAGATAATTTCATAATTAGTGCTTTAGAAAGGTAAGCCAATCACAGAAAATTACCAGATTAAAACTTCGGAAGAAAATACTTTCTTGCAACACCGACAAAAGAGGCTTTTGAGAATAAAAAAAGAACACTACAACACCTACCATAAGCTGAAGAGAAGATAATCGAAAACTAAGAACTAGAAACAAGAAAATCATAAAAACAAGTTCCGACAAAAATATATGAATGAAAAACACTAGCATCATCTAAACAGGCAGAGCAGATTCCTAAGCACATGTATTGTTTATTTTCAGAACCTTTTCCGTGTACTTCTATCCTAGTGATCTCACTTAAGAGGTTTGACAAGAACAAGCACCAGAACTTACGAGATATGCACTTACTTTTGGCAATGTTCTCAATCAAATTCTCGGAAATTCCCACCCAAGCAAATAAACCAGGTTCCTGCAATAAAAATCGAATGTCAAAAAAATAACAAAATACATCGAAAGAAAGCCTCAGCAGTTCTTTCTGAATGACAACCAACAGTTTAACACATGACCAAAACTACTGAAATGCTTCCATTTCTGATCCTAAGAAATCTTTTGAGAGCAAGAATCATAATGCCTTTCAATAATATGCTGCTAATGTCACTATTCATTTTCATCAAACAAACTAAACTTTCAAACTACTGGCAAATAACCCTACTCAGATCTAAATGCTTATTGCAGTAGGCATTCCAAAAATTAAAAGCCAATCAACTCAGAAACATAGTGCACACAAACACTAATTTCTCCTCCCCATTGAAGAAGTTCAAAGCCAAATTCCAGTATAAAATCTTGTTAAATAAGATCTTGATCTAAGCTACAAATCCATCAAGAATTCTATCAAACTGGGAGTACATCAATCATTCCAGTTCCCAAAACCCTAACTCTCACCACATGCAGCTCCAGAAAGAAATCTTCAATTCTTAACCAAAATCAATAAGAGGAAGATTACAGAGAATCGGGTAAATCCAGAAAATGTACGTTCAAATCCCCATAGAATCAAATTCAGAATATATCATCACAGCCAAACCTAAAACTTCATCAACAAATCAAAACTCGGCTAAGTTACAAAATTTAGCGAAAGTAGCGTTTAACTCGGCCATTCCCTAGCAGAACCCAGAAATATACATGCCCCAAATTACATTCCCCCTTCAGAACTAGGGTTCGACAAAGCCAAACAAAACAAGTAAATTCCCTTCGCAGAGCAAGAAGCCATCCAAAAAGGCATTACATTGATTAAGCGACCACCTGCCTCTCAAGTCGGTGCGCCACGATGGATGTTAATGTATTAGGGTTCCGCGTATTTATTTCCACCAAGGTAAAAACGATAATTAAAGAAATCTCTCGAGTCGATCGGCGATGTTCTGCGAATATTATATGAAAATATATATATGAATCTTACCCGTAGCAGTCACGGCCACCGTGGGGCGGAGCGGAAGGGAGGAGCTTGAAGAAGAAGTGGAAGGAGGAGGAAAGGAGAAAATGGGAGAAGAAGAAAAGAAAGAGGAAGAAGCTGGTGCGGGGAGGCGGCTCACGGCTGTGAATCAGCGGATGATTACGCACGGCAAAAACTTTTGAAGTATAAAATTAATGGGTTAGTTAGGTTTTGAAAAGAAAATAGGGGTTACAATTGAGTTTTATGATTTTATTTTATTTCTTTTCCATTTTCAATTTTAATCAACGTTACTTATCTGTATAAATTTTAATAAAAATACACTATTAGACAAATTATTATGTAATTATTTTTAATAATATTTAAAATTTTATTAATATATAAATTAAAATAGTTTGTAACAAATTAGTATTGAAATTATTTTCATACAATAAGATAATGCGAAACTGCATATGTATGGTATTCATCGGGGGTTATAAATACGGATGAATTTGATATTCACCTTATTTTTCAGTCTTCGAACAACTTCGATACCAACATAAACGATTTAGGGTGAGTCAACGTTAGTGGACAGTAAATTCGAATGAAATCTAACATAACATCACTGCTACGAGAGCAGCTTGGACGAGCCATTTCAATTTTACCATGGTTTCTTGAATATTTCACTTGAAAAGAGAATGGAAACCATGGATAGTTGTCGAACACCCTCCATCAATCGGCTCTGGGTTCGGGTCTAAATCTGGAACTATCTCACAAGAAACAACTTAAACGGACGTCAACAAATTAGATTTAGCCGCATTGGACTCCGATTTGAGGGGCTTGAGCTTCGAATTAATTCAAAGCAATAAGTAAATAGATTGAGACGATTAATGTCATTGTGCAAGATTGGAAAATAAATTTGCTGACTCAAGGACATTACTGTCATTGTATGCCCCCGACAAACGAAAATAAGCATGTCATATCCAAATATCGTAATTAGCCACAACTTATACGATGATTGTCGGTTTGCCTGAATGTCCTGTTTACTGTCAGGCAAATGCTGTAAGACAATTTTTTCCACTTCCAATGGATATAATCTAAATTATCCAATATTTCGGGAAATTTACAGCTTTCGCCAATATGCAGAAGCCTCACCACATCATTCGTATTGGGTGATCTTAGTTACGTTTCTGCAAAAATTTCAACAATCGAATGGCAAAATCACTTAAGACTTTCGATTGCAGTTGACTCACCGATTTTTACATGTTCGTATGTTGCATCTTCCGGTACACCACATGCCAACATTCAAAAAACAACGTTTCCTTTTTGGAGAGGGGATAATCCAAGTTTTCCTACCCTATCACGCCATTACTGGAAGTATCTATCATGAGATTTAACACTCTTAAGAATACAGTGAAAGAGGGGTCATGATATTCGATACCGACAAAAAAACATTTCATCGTCGTATTGTAGATTATCACTGAAATAATCTTTGAATAAATTGAAATCTGCAGCTTTATGATCACAATTTATCACTATATGAACGGTAGGAGAGCCACTTAAGGAAGAATACTTGAGCTTGTAAAGATTATCTTTTAATCTTTTGTTGTTATTTTAAAATATTGAAAGTAATATTTTTTGCTCTACTTCAAATTCATCACCGGAAGAAGATGATGAAGAATTATAAAGTGAAGAGCCTATATTATTGTAATTCATCTTGGATTGAGATGAATGATAATTTCATTCTACACATATATTTATAGAATGATTTAAAGAGATATTTTAATTAAGTTGAATTAAATAAAATGAATTGACTTAATTTAATTATTCACCTTGGATACCATTTAAATGGACCAAAAAAATGGCACAATTTTACATTAAATTAAATAAATGGACTTAATTAATTATTCACATTATCGTTTTAATTGACAAAAAATACATAATTTTAAATGAAATAAAAAAGAATGGACGCAAATAAATATCTACATTGGATACCAATTTAATGGACAAAAATTTGCCATAATTTTGAATCAAATAAAAAAGAATAGACACAGTTAAATATTTATGGATACCAATTTAATAGACAAAAAAATGACATAATTTTAAATAAAATAAAATAATTTGAATAGACATAAATGTTCACATTGGATACCAATTTAATGAAAAAAAATGACATAATTTTAAATCAAATAAAAATGAATAGACACGATTAAATATCTATATTGGATATTAATTTAATGGACAAAAAAAGACACAATTTTAAATAAAATAAAATAAATTGAATGAGCATAAATAAATATTCACATTGAATACTAACTTAATAGACATATTTGAAGATTCCAACATTGATACCACACAATGTTTTGTCTATATATACTAAGCTTCTAAATAATTCCATCCAACAACATCTTTACTTTAATATTCTCTCTAAAAAAAAAAAAATTAAAATACTACATTTTTCAAAATTTTCTGTTCAAACAAAATGAGTTCTCAGGCTTTTCGGTACATTGCCCATAAAAATATTAATTTTTGTGGGACTTATATGAGTATTTGTCAAAATCCTGTTGTAGATGTGTATCAATCTATGAAACAATTATGAGAAAGAGTTGAAGCAACATATGAATGATCAAATTGAGCCTGATTCAAAGATTCGTAATGTAAATTTATTACAATATCAATGGCATAACATAGAGAAAGTCGTTCGGAAATTAATAGCATATGTCCGGCAAATTGAAAATATGAACCCCAAGTGGAACATTGGAGCAAGATATTGTAAGTATATATAAATTATATGTTATGATAGCAATTTATATGTTTTAATATATATAGTGAAATCCAACGTTATCTGTTGTTGAATCGAACGAAGTTGTTATTCATGGAAAATCGAACGTTTTAAAAAGGTTTCAAGTTCGACCATGTCTGGAACTCACTGAAGAATTTTTAAAAATTTTACGATAATGTTTCAAGTGTGAGGCAAAAATCTGATCACAAAGAGCCGGCTACGTATCTTCCAATCCTGGCAATCCTATTCCTTTTTTGAATCTAGTTCTCCAATATCGCAAGGGTTTTCAATTTTTTCTATCAATTTAAATGAGGATATGTGTGGATCTTCGAGTCGAAGACCCATTGGAGTAAAAAAAGTGAAACTGAAAAGAGAAATTGAAGAAAATAACAGCGCAATACATAAAAACAAAGAAGTACGGAACAACAACTACGTTTTTCTCGTGCACGGATCTCTTTAGCTATGAGTTTAATAATTTAGGTGGAGGATCAATTTAGATGAAGGTGGATCCGATCTTCTGTCATATTATGTATCTTTATTTATATTTCACTTATTTAGTTATTGTTGCTTTTAAGATTTGTTTGTATTTTATTTTACTTTTATATTGTAATATTTATGTGTAATATTATCTAATATAATATTTATATTTTGTAATATTTATATTGTTTATTTATTATATAATATAATATATTATGTATTAAAAAAATCACACCAAATACATCTTATGAACCATCAAATTGAAAGAGAATCAAAACAGAAGAATAACCATAGTTGTTGTTATAATAATAATAATAAATACAAAATAAAAAATAAAATAGAAAAAAAAAAGAGTTTGAACATACTCTCCAAATTGAACCCACCGAATATGAAATAATATTAATAATAAATAATTAAATTAAAATAGTCAAATATATAAAACTCAAAACTTCGAGAACTAAATTGACAAAAAATCATTTTCTCCATTTTTCGAGAAAAATGACCTTGTTCATCTTGCTCTAATAAATTATTTACTCACTGCAATATTTATATATTATCATTTTGATAGAATAATGTTTTATATGAAGAGAAAAATTAAATCAACAAAAATATCAATTTAAAGATCTCATTCAACTTTTATAATCTTTATAATTAACAATGTGAATTAGAAGTTCAATGTATTATATATTTGCAGAAATTGTATATCAATTAATGGATTCAATAATTTTAGCAAAGATACTTGATTATATGTAAAAATTATTTAAAGTATAAACATGACATTGAATTAAAAGAATTTGTCACTCTATCTCATCTCAATATAATTAATATAATTATATATAATTATTTTTAAGGTATAAGCATCAGCACTTAAATTCATTCCGTAAAGTAATTGTCCCTCTCTCATTCATTATCAAATTTTCGAAAAAAAAAATAAATTAGCCCTTATTTATTCGAGTTGTGGTTTCACCGATGTGTGTAAACACTATGCATGTGACTTTTGTTGCACTTTTGTTTTGTTTTTGTTTTTGTTTTTTTTTTTTAAATTTAAAAACATTAACAACGGTACGATTGTGCAACAACTCAAATATTTTAGTTCAGTAACAGATGATCTGATGGTAATCCTAGTGTGACTTGCCTTGCTAACAACTCAAATATTTTATTTTGATACTTCAATAAAATATATACAATATATAGGTCATTTTGTAAATAATAAAAAAATTTATAATACAAAAGAATTTAAAAAAATATATAGATATAACATAAATTCCTATTCAAATAATACCATTATTAATTTTTTAAAAATTAAATATAATACACATATATTATTATATTTACTATCCATCAAATGAATACATATCAAAACTCTAAATTCAAACCAAACATACACTAAAAAAAAAAAAATAATAACATAAATTCAAATCTACCTAAAAATTTAAATAAAAATCAAATTCAAACCCAATATTCTCAAATAGCGTTTAAAAAACAGTCCTTACTTGATTGAGTAATAAGATATATCAATTCTTATGTGTGGCTCCCTCTCTCTTGATTGTTCCTTCACCTTTATCAACTTCTGAATTTTTTTTTTTTTAAATTCGCACTGTTATTATAGATACATATAGGCAGTCTCTTTAACATATTGTTATTAACATTATATAATGTAATAATGTCTCTCTTTAGATAGAAATTTAAAAAAAAAAAAAAGTAAAAAAATAATATTTGATTTAATATTTTTTAAGAAGAAAATATATCTAATAGGATATATATTTATATATGTGTAAAGTAAATAATACCTAATTGATTATATAAACTGGGCCTAATACTCTTGCCTGTCTTACAAGACAAAGAAAGATGTGTCCTTCCTTTTTTTTTGTAAGACGGACTTAATGGGCCAATACCATCACCATTTCACATGGCCCAAAATAGGACCGACCCGACCTGACCCAACCCGGATCCAAAATAAAATATAATGATATCCAGGAGATTGGATCATGTGATCCATAATTAATTTTAGATTTGCCACGCAGAGGTCAACAAGTTTGCTTGACTATATTCATAACTTGTTCTTATAACCTTGGAGTTTAAAAGCTATAAGATTCAACAATCACTTTCTATATTTGTTCACAATATATTGAGCAGCGCAAAGACCAGCATCCAAATTTCGTACAAGTAATCAACAGTGATGTAAATAATTAATAACCAATTAAATATGCAAAATAAGGACTCACTAGATCAATCTCTTAGATATATCAAGGCGATCTTTTAGGAGACTCGGCTCCATCTTGAGGTTTGGGATTTTCCTTCTTCTTCGTAACTTGATGTATTCCTTCTTGATATCCTTTAATGAAATTTCTCAGAGCATCTCTATAAGCAGAAGCTTTAGTCATGTAAATACGCTGCAATGCTGCTTAATGTCTTTATTCCCCCTCTTGCAGCCACGGCTATATAATGAAATCAGAATTGCATGTGATAAAAAATTGAAAATGCGGATAGAAATAAAAATAGTGATACGGGTTGGATTATCAAATTTATAAAAGTTCATCCTCTAAAAGCCTTATTTAAGTATTAAATTGTACCCTCCCACCAACTCAAGTGTACAATAAAACATTATTTCAGTCTCAACAAGATGTATATTGGTGAACACAATAATTCGTACAAGATTTCTAAAGAATCCATCCCCAAAAAACTTCTCCATATGCCTAATAACAATATGATTCAAGGATACTCCACATGAAAATATAAAAACTCTCCGTAGAGTTACATTAGTTTTTAGATTGAGGATTACAGAAGGAAAAGAAAACAAAGTGATTTAAATACTGGATTGACGTTGAATACTCTAAGGACAAGAAACTATGATGGAAACATTATACTCCATCCGTCCACAAACTAATGTCCTATTTGAAATGTCCAACAATTACCATCCTCTTTCTTTTAGGACAAGAAAAATCTGATGTAAGCATTATGCTCCCTCCGTTCACAAACTAATGTTCTACTTTTCTATTTAGAATGTCCAACAATATTGTCCTCTTTCTTTTTTTATACACAATTTATTTTTTTGTCATTCCTTTATTTACTATTTTTTTTTCAACACACAAGATAAATGGCAAGTTTGTCAGCTACTCACAACAAAAAGCTAATTGCCTAAAAAAACGTGTAAATATCAATTAGGACAATACAAATGGACTGAGGGAGTATTATTTTTCCGCCCAAATAGGTCAGAAAAAGGTAGACTATCTTGTCTACAACATAATTCAACCGAATTTTATCTTTTTCCATCTATTTAATCAGCATTAAAGCAACATTACCTTAAAATTTAGGCAAAATTGTCTATAACTCCTTTGTGGTTTCTAAACTCAGCGTAAATCTCCCCTCTACTTTAAAAATTGCATGACGTCGCCTTATACTTTAAAAGATGTTGCATGAAATTACTTTGTGGTTTCGAAACTTAGCATAAATCCCCACTTTACTTTAAAAAGTTGCATGACGGTCCCTTATACTTTAAAAAATATTGCATGAAACCCCATCTGCCATGCAAAATATATAGATAAGAAATCATCTTTTTATCACACGAGAAAAGTTTCATGGTGGTGGGGTTTCATGCAACGTTTTTTAGAGTATAAGGGGGTACCATGCAATTTTTAAACTATAGGGAGATTTTACGCTGAATTTCGAAACCACATGAGAGTTATAAGCAATTTTACCTAAAATTTATTCCTACTTCGTATGTTTTTACTTCCATATTAAAACCAGTCAAACACAAAAGTTACAAAATCTTCAAAACTTTCATTTTGTTATTATGTTTTCCAAACATTATATTACCCTAGTCAATTTCTCTTAAAGTCCTCAAAACAGAACACATTGTGTTAATATCTCATATTGCATATCATATTAAGAACATGTAATGCTCATTACCAAGGTCCTCAAGTGTGGATGGTTCTTTCTCCTTTAGTGCACCTTTCCCTGCAACTGGCACATCATCACTCCTCTCTTTCTTCTTGCAATCTTGTGGCCTGAGCTCCGGACCGATGTCCTTAACCCAGCTAGCGGCATAAAGTCTAGATGCTTTTTTCAACACCTACCAACACACCCCAAAGACTTTGTCCTTCAGCCACAAGAATTTGATCAGCGTGCAAATGTGTTCAATATTGAGAAATTATAGAACTAACAAGAAAACTATCTTTCAATGTGAGTTTGGAAAGTGGTTTGATGTGAGAAGGATCAGGCAAAGAAGACGGGAATGCTATTTCTTTGAGATCATATCCAACGTAATCATAAATCTTCTTGCACACCACTCTAAACTTGATTCTTGGCCCAGTATTTTGCACCCACAACACCTACCTGTTGTACAAAACAACAAGAATCCAGCAAAAGGCAAATATATAAATCAAAAACCCTCATGGTTCATAAAGTTATCAATTCATAGCTATTAGATGCTCCATAGCGGGCGAGTCAACACTAGAGCAGCAAACGAAATCACTATAAACAGTCGACAACCAAATCAAATGGATAATTATTTGGCGTAAACTAAGTGTAACTAGACCGATATCAAAATTATACTACATTGTGTAAAATCAAAATTATACTTACTAAAATACAATTATATATAATACCATTATTGCAAATGAATATAAAATATAAATATTGTAATTTATAATATCATTGTTAATTACTAAAAAAAATTATATTTTTTTTATTCTAACATGAGAATTGCTTTTTTTTTTTTCTTTTTTTTCCTGTGGTGATATTAATGTTTCTAAAATAAAAATTAATATACTATATAATTAAAAAAATAAAAAATGTATTTAAATAGTTTAAATACTATTTTTTTCAATAAAATATATAATATAATTAAATTTGGTAGAAAATAAAATTTTATATTTTAATACAATGAAAGAAATATTTAAACTATCAAGCAAAAAAAAATGGATAATCTATTATAATATTAAAATATATATATATATATATATAAAACAGCTCAAAGGTTGATCCACTTTTTGTAAAATTATATAATCATAAAATCTCATAATTTTGAAATTTTTGGTTTTTTTTAATTACAATTTATTATTTTTTTAATTATCAAAGTGTGAATGACAGTTTTGAAATAGTGAGACAGTGGTTTGAATGTTAACATTTGTTGCTTGCCAGAAGAAAGAAAGAGATAATATTTGAAATTTATTATTTGTCTTCTTATTTCATTTTCAAAATTTTTTCTTTTTTATATATATATTTTTTATAATTTTTAAATTTTTTTGGTTTTTTCTAAATTGTTTATGTTATTGTATTTTTTCTGCGTAGCCATAAAGTTTTGATCCCAAAATATTGTCTTCCTTCTATATATTGGAAGTTGTTTGCTTGAGGATTCCGTCGTTCTTATTTCTAATAATTTTTCTTATTTTAGAATTTTTAGATTTTTTTTTATTTTTTAAATTGTTTCTTTTTTTTCAAACACGTCAAACCGCGTTACCTTTGCCCACTTCCCTTATCTTCTTCTTTTTTATGGCAGCAAAAGATTAATGGCGTGTCAGCAAAAAAAACACAATAAAATAATTTATATAATAGCCAATTAAAATAAAATATTAAATTATTTTATCATATGATTATATATTTTATTAGAATAAAATATTATTATAATCCTATCCTACAAAATAAACATTAATTTATATATAATATGTTGCCGGTGCGTATTAAACAACCATATATGTAAAATACTAAGATTAGAATGTGTTTGGTTTTGAAAAAAGATAAATTAATTGAAATAATTATTAATTGAAATAATTATGTGATATATTATAAATAGATATTGATAAAATATTGTTAATATAAATTTTTTATATATATAATAAAGAAAATAAAAAAATATTATAATAATGATAATAATAATAATAATAATAATAATAATAATAATGAATGGTAAAAAATCTACCAAGATCCTCCCACCAAACCAAACCAAACCAAACACAACATAGGCTCTCTTTAGTTACATTATCAGTTATTTTTACATTATTAACTAAAATTTCTTTTTCTATAAAGCATTCAGATACAATTCCAAATTAAATCATATGAAACAACTATTTGAAAAATGGCATGACTCTCTGTAAAAGCAACTTCAAAGGTTTTCAGTGTCATCATTTTACAGTAAAATAAACATTACTTTCAATGTCTATATATTATTCCAAAACTTTTAAATCTAAAAACACAATCAAAGACAGCTATTTGCCCTATTTCTTTGGTCATAAGCTGCTATATTTTGGGGTTCACATTCGGGACTAAATAGTCGAACCAGCAAAGCAGTGGTTGTGCTCATCGAGACAGCTCCACAGGCAGCCCATCTTAGACTTCGAGGAGTTGTAATTCTCGGACCTGCATCAGCATCAAGAACTCAAACACTTGACCCTCGAGTCAATAAAGACGACAAACACATTGATATATAAATGCATTTCATAATTTCAGAGCATTATAGACACTGAGACATGAAGAAGTATTCCTACACAAGTAAACAATTGCGATTTCTGAAACCATCAAGGAAATAGGAAACAAGTAGATCATTTAGAGGGGTTGGTTCATTTCCATTTGAAGCCCTATATGGCTCCCATTTCTTTTCTCGAATTTACATTGCCCCATTAAAATTCGACTACATGCTTATCATTGACAATGTGAAATTTCATACATATGTAACCTATATACTTCATTCTTATCCGAATCCTCAAAAATCACAACTCCAATTCCCATATGTAAAAACATTTGAATTTAGAAACAAATGATGAATAAATTTGAGCCAAAGGAAAAACCCCACAGGAATCTATAGTCGAAACACTTAAAACTAGTTTACTATGGTTTCTTTCTCATCTACAAGCTCAACTCTGCATTTGTAGATAAATATTTAGATTGGAGCAGAAAAATTGAACTTCAAAACCAACAAACTCAAGAGTAGAGAAAGGAATCCGAAAACAGTTGCATCAAACATAAGAAGATCATATCACAAGTTTTGAAAATAAGCAAACCTAATCAAACGTACCATAATGCAAACGGCAGAGAACCCAAAAACCCAATGCTCCTCCCACAGAACAAATGCCAGCTGTTTGCCTCATCAATCGAGAACAGGGCTTTCCATCTGACCTCATCAATTCTCCATCAGAAAATCCAAGAATGGACCTTAGCGCCATCCTTGAGTCCTATAACTATATGCCTTGTTAATTTCTTCCTGTTTCGGGTTATCAAAACAGCAAAAAGGGCTACGGTACGAATATCAGATTAAAGTTGAAGCACAAAACAAAATTCACACCCCAACAGACTACCTGTTTTTTAATATCAGTCGACTAAAACATCATAATCCATTGAAATCAGTACAAGAGTGTTTAAATTTCAAAATGGAAATCGAATTTGGTCATTGTCAGCACTGAACTTAGTCGGGCATAATGTCGAACACCTCGACAGCAACGTAAAACAAAAAAAGAAAAAAAATACCTCAATCTAACGCTTCCTGTCGCTCGCCTTGACCTTGTGAATCTGAAAATTGGCAACACAATCCTCTCAATTTCTTGAATACCCACTGACGGAACACCAAGTCCAGCCTATGCTATTTTTCGCAGACGATGTTGACAATACTGACCTTCACCTTCAGAATCACAACGGATGTAAATGGAAGCAATATATCCTGGGCCGAGGTGGGCCAAGTCATAAACTAAGCCCAATTCATGAAATCCACCCAAAGTTAAGAGCGGCTCTACGGAATGTATTCATTGAGGTTTTATTCGAATTCCTTTTATATCTTAAAAAATGTAAAACAAAAAAGAAAATTGTGAATAAAATATATATATATATATATATAAAAATTATAGATTCTATAAAGAGTTTGGCCAACTTGCTTATGGATTTTTATAAAATTGATACGATCATATTTATTAATTTATATGAATTTATATAAAAAGAAAAATATTATCAATAAAGAAGAATAGCAAAACAATCATAAAACTAAAGAAGATGAAAATGAAATAAAAGATAAACAAAAATAACAACTGATACTAAATGTCAATATTCTTCACTTGGTGCTCTCTATATATATATACAGAAAAAGAAAAAAAATATCAGTTTCTTCCACTAATGTTAACATTGAAACCTCCGTCCCAGACATTCACACCCTTTATCATTTATTTTGATAATTAAAAAAATAATAAACTGTAATTAAAACAAAAAAACAAAAAATCTCAAAATTCTGAGATTTCAGGATTACATAATTTTACAAAAAGTGGGATCCACTTGAGCTGTTTTATATATATATATATATGTATGATATCTCACCATATGATGTGTTATAAGATAGCATATGCTGAATTATAATATAATATATGTTGCATTAAAATATGCTGAGACATATATGATTCAGTCAAATCAATACTTAAAGTACGAATTTGTTTTACCAAACATAATAATTAATTTCATTTTGCTACATTTTTCTTCAATTCCATTCTAAGTCTATTTTGCCCATCACTACATATTGCATACCATAAATAATTTTTCTGTTAGCTAACAAGCAACACTACAATCTATTTTATTGTTACACAGAAGTGAGAACTGATGTGAGTTGAGGTTCACTATTATGGGAACAAAGCATTTTAATGTGTGATTGGGCAAGTTTCTGTAGGCATCTTCTAGGTTCTTCATTATCCCGTCCTCACAATTTTCAATTAAAATAAACTATTTCTTTCTATAAAATATCACATCAAACGGCTATTTGAATCAAAATTCAAACAAAAAACCCACAAAACTCCGAAAGAAACAAACAAGTTAACGTGAAAAAATAATAATCAGAAAATATTTCTGCAGATTCCATATGTCAGGGTTATATCAACATGAAGAAGTTGACATGATTTTGTTAAGTTATGACATGTATGGGTAATTCCTAGCAGAAATGCCATGGTTCTTGAGATGAAGCAGAATTTTCTCAGGAGCATGGCCAAGATAAAAGTGCCAAAGGGACACGAAGGAGCGATGAACCGCAGGTAGAGAAGTGGAGGAAGGAAGGTAATCTTAAATAGCTAATTTATCACATTATGTATAGACATTTTCATAATTAGTGCTTTAGAAAGGTAAGCTAATCACAGAAAAATAAGCAGATTAAAACTTCGGAAGAAAATACTTTCTTGCAACACTGATGAAAAGAGGATTTGAGAATAAAAAATAACACTACAACACCTAGCATCTCTACCATAAGCTGAAGAGAAGACAATAGACAACTAAGAACAACTAAGTGCTAAGTGTAGCAAAATGTTGAGCATTCTGGTGATTGTGTCAACCAGTAGCCCCCAAACAGATTCATGAAGTAACATTTAGGGATCATTTTGCTTTTTTTTTTCTCTTTTATCCTTTCCAATAAGTAGCTTAAGAAAATAGCACAAGTGCAAAGCAACGGAAAACGCTGGGCATGGTAGTGCCACGCCAATGCCCAGTCAGATTCCAGATGCAGCAGTTGATAAACATGTTTAAAAGTTTCACATAAAAACAAGTCCCGACAAAAATATATGAACGAATAACACTAGCATCATCTAAAAGGCAGAGCAGATTCCTAAGCACATATATTGTTTATTTTCAAAACATTTTCCGTGTACTTCTATCCCAGCAATCAATCATATAAGTGGTTTGACAAGAACAAGCACCAGAACATTGTAACAAAGGAACTCAAAGATATGCACTTACTTTTGGAAATATTGTCAATCAAACTCTCAGAAATTCCCAGCCAAGCAAATAAACCAGGTTCCTGAAATAAAAATCAAATATCAAAAAATAACAAAACACATCGAAAGAAAGCCTCAGCAGTTCTCTCTGAATGACAGCCAACAGTCCAACAGATGAGCAGAACTACTGAAATGCTTCATTTCTGATTCTAAGAGATCTTTTGAGGGAAGGAATAATGTCACTATTCATTTTCATCAAACAAACTAAACTTTCAAACTACTGGCAAATAACCCTACTTAGATCTAAATACTTATTGCAGTAGGCATTCCAAATATAAAAAGCTAATCAACTCAGAAACATAGTGCACAGAAACACTAATTTCTCCTCCCCATTGAAGAATAAAATCTTGTTCAATAACATTTTGATCTAAGCTACAAATCCATCAAGAATTCTATCAAACTCGGAGTACACCAATCATTCCAGTTCCCAAAACCCTAACTCTCACCACATGCAGCTCCAGAAAGAAACCTTAAATTCTTAACAAAAATCAATAAGAGGAAGATTACAGAGAATCAAGTAAATCCAGAAAATGTACGTTCAAATCCCCATAGAATCAAATTCAGAATATATCATCACAGCCAAACCTAAAACTTCATCAACAAATCAAAACTCGGCTAAGTTACAAAATTTAGCGAAAGTAGCGTTTAACTCGGCCATTCCCTAGCAGAACCCAGAAATATACATGCCCCAAATTACATTCCCCCTTCAGAACTAGGGTTCGACAAAGCCAAACAAAACAAGTAAATTCCCTTCGCAGAGCAAGAAGCCATCCAAAAAGGCATTACATTGATTAAGCGACCACCTGCCTCTCAAGTCGGTGCGCCACGATGGATGTTAATGTATTAGGGTTTCGCGTATTTATTTCCACCAAGGTAAAAACGATAGTTAAAGAAATCTCTCGAGTCGATCGGCGATGTTCTGCGAATATTGTATGAAAATATATATATGAATCTTACCCGTAGCAGTCACGGCCACCGTGGGGCGGAGCGGAAGGGAGGAGCTTGAAGAAGAAGTGGAAGGAGGAGGAAAGGAGAAAATGGGAGAAGAAGAAAAGAAAGAGGAAGAAGCTGGTGCGGGGCGGCGGCTCACGGCTGTGAATCAGCGGATGATTACGCACTGCAAAAACTTTTGAAGTATAAAAGTAATGGGTTAGTTTGGTTTTGAAAAGAAAATAGGGGTTAAAATTGAGTTTTATGATTTTATTTTATTTCTTTTCCATTTTCAATTTTAATCAATCGTTATTTATCTGTATAAATTTTAATAAAAATACACTATTAGACAAATTATTATGTAATTATTTTTAATAATATTTAAAATTTTATTAATATATAAATTAAAATAGTTTGTAACAAATTAGTATTGAAATTATTTTCATACAATAAGATAATGCGAAACTGCATATGTATGGTATTCATCAGGGGTTATAAATACGGATGAATTTGATATTCACCTTATTTTTCAGCCTTCGAACAACTCCGATACCAACATAAACCAGTAAATTCGAATGAAATATAACATAGCATCACTGCTGCGAGACCAGCTTAGCCGAGCCACTTCAATTTTCCTATGGGTTCTTGAATATTTCACTTGAAAAGAGAATGGAGACCATGGATAGTTGTCGAACACCCTCCATCAACCGGTTCCGGGTTCGGGTCTAAATCTGAAACTCTCTCAAAAGAAACAACTTAAACGGACGTCAGCAAATTAGATTCAGCCGCATTGGACTCCGATTTGAGGGTCTCGATCTTCGAATTAATTCAAAGCAATCAGTAAATAGACTGAGACGCTTAATGTCATTGTGCAATATTGGAAAATAAATTTGCTGACTCAAGGACATTACTGTCATTGTTTGCCCCCGACAAACCAAAACAAGCATGCCATATCCAAATATCGTAATTAGCCACAACTTATACGATGATCGTTGGTTTGCCTGAATGTCCTGTATACTGTCGGGCAAATGCTGTGAGACAATTTTTTCTACTTCCAATGGATATAATCTAAACTATCCAATATTTCGGGAAATTTACAGCTTTCGCCAATATGCAGAAGACTCACCACATCATTCGTATTTGGTGATCTTAGTTACGTTTCTGCAAAAATTTCAACAATCGAATGGAAAAATCTCTAAGACTTTCGATTGCAGTTGACTCACCGATCTTTACATGTTTGTCTGTTGCATCTTCCGGTACACCACATGCCAACGTTCGAAAAACAAAGGTTCTTTTTTGGAGAGGTGATAATTCAAGTTTTCTTGCCCTATCACGCCATTACTGGAAGTATTTACCATGAGATTTAACACTCTCAAGAATACAGTAAAAGAGGGGTCGTGATATTCGATACCGACCACAAAACATTTCATCGTCGTATTGTAGATTATCTCTGAAATAATCTTTGAACAAATTGAAATCTGCAGCTTTACGATCACAATTTATTACTATATGAACGGTAGAAGAGTTGTCTAAGGAACGATAGTTGAGCTTGTAAGGATTATCTTGTAATCTCTTGTTGTTATTTTAAAACATTGAAAATAATATTTTTTGTTCTACTTCAAATTCATCACCGGAAGAAGATGATGAAGAATTATGAAGTGAAGAACCTATATTATTGTAATTCATCTTGGATTGAGATGAATGGTAATTTCATTCTACACGATATACTTATAGAAGGATTTAAAGAGATATTTTAATTAAGTTGAATTAAATAAAATGAATTGACTTAATTTAATTATTTACATAGGATACCATTTAAATTGACAAAAAAAAAAAAAAAATGGCACAATTTTAAATTAAATTAAATGAATGGACTTAATTAATTATTCACATTATTGTTTTAATTGACAAAAAATACATAATTTTAAATGAAATAAAAAGGAATGGATGCAAATAAATATCTACATTGGATACCAATTTAATAGACAAAAATTTGCCATAATTTTAAATCAAATAAAAAAGAATAGATACAGCTAAATATTATGGATACCAATTTAATGGACCAAAAAATGACATAATTTTAAATCAAATAAAATAATTTGAATGGATATTAATGTTCAATTGGATACTAATTTAATGCAAAAAAAAAACATGACATAATTTTAAATCAAATAAAAAATAATAGACACGATTAAATATTTATATTGGATATTAATTTAATGGACAAAAAAAAAGACACAAATTTAAATAAAATAAAATAAATTGAATGAGCATAAATAAATATTCACATTGGATACTAATTTAATAGACATAATTGAATATTCAACATTGGATACCACGCAATATTTTCTCTATATATACTAATCTTTTAAATAATTTTATCCAACATCATCTTTATTTTAACATTCTCTCTGAAAAATTAAAATACTATATTTTCAAAACTTTTTGTTCAAACAAAATGAATACTCAGGCTTCTCAATACATTGCCCATAAAAATATTAATTTATGTGGGACTTATACGAGTATTTGTCAAAATCCTGTTGTAGATGTGTATCAATTTATGGAGCAATTATGAGAAAGAGTTGAAGCAACCTATGAATGATCAAATGGAGCCTGATTCAAATATTCGTAATGTAAAATTATTACAATATCAATGACATAACATAGAGAAAGCCGTTCGGAAATTAATAGCATATGTCCCGCAAATTGAAAATATGAATCCCAATGGAACATCGAAGCAAGATATTGTAAGTATATATAAATTAGATGTTATGGTAGCAATTTATATGTTTTAATATATACAGTGAAATCCAACGTTATCTGTTGTTGGATCGAGCGAAGTTATTATTTATGGAAAATCGAACGTTTTAAAAATGTTTCAAGTTCGACCATGTCTGGAATTCACTGAAGAATTTTTAAAAATTTTACAATAATGTTTTAAGTGTGAGGCAAAAATCTAAATTACAAAGAGCCGGCTACGTATCTTCCAATCATGGATATCCTATTCTTATTTTTTAATCTAGTTCTCCAATATCGCAAGGATTTTCAAATTTTTCTTTCAATTTAAATGAGGATATGTGTGGATCTTCGAGTCGAAGACCTATTGGAATAAATAAAGTGAAACTGAAAAGAGAAATTAAAGAAAATAACAACGCAATACATAAAAACAAAGAAGTAGGGTCTGGTGCACGGATCTCTTTAGCTATAAGTTTAATAATTTAGGTGGAGGATCAATTTAGGTGAATGTGGATCTGATCTTCTGTCATATTATTATGTATCTTTATTTATATTCCACTTATTTAGTTATCGTGGCTTTTAAGTTTTGTTTGTATTTTATTTTACTTTTATATTGTAATATTTATGTGTAATATTATCTAATATAATATTTATATTGTGTAATATTTATACTGTTTATTTATTATATAATATAATATATTATGTATTAAAAAAATCACACCAAATATATCTTATGAACCCATCAAATTAAAAGAGAATCCAAACAGAAGAATAATCATCGTTGTTGTTATAATAATAATAATAAATACAAAAAAGAAAAAGAAAAAGAGTTTGAACATACTCTCCAAATTGAACTCACCGAATATAAAATAATATTAATAATAAATAATTAAATTAAAATAGTCAAATATATAAAACTCAAAACTTCGAGAACTAAATTGACAAAAAAAAATATTTTCTCCATTTTTTGAGAAAGATGATCTTGTTAATCTGGCTCTAATAAATTATTTACTCATTGCAATATTTATATATTATTATTTTGATATAATAATATTTTCTATGAAGAGAAAAATTAAATCAACAAAAATATCAATTTAAAGATCTCATTCAACTTTTATAATCCTTATAATTAACAATGTGAATTAGAAGTTCAATCTATTATATATTTGTAAAAATTGTATATCAATTAATGGATTCAATAATTTTAGCAAAGATACTTGACTATATGTAAAAATTATTTAAAGTATAAACATGACATTGAATTTAAAGAATTCATCACTCTATCTCATCTTAATATAATTATATATAATTATTTTTAAGGTATAAGCATCAGCACTTAAATTCATCCCGTAAAATAATTGTCCATCTCTCATTCATTATCAAATTTTCGAAAAAAAATTAAATTAGCCCTTATTTATTCGAGTTGTGGTTTCACCCATGTGTGCAAACACCGTGCACTGTGACTTTTGCTGCACTTTTGTTTTGTTGTATTTTTATTTTTATTTTTATTTTTTTTTAATTTAAAACATCAACAACGGTACGATTGTGCAACAACTCAAATATTTTAGTTTAGTAAAAGATGATCTGATGGTAATCCTAGTATGACTTGCCTTGCTAACAACTTAAATATTTTATTTTGATACTTTAATAAATATATACAATATATATGTCATTTTGTAAATAATAAATTTTTATTCAAATAATACCATTATTAATTTTTAAAAAATTAAATTTAATACACATATATTATTATATTTACTAATACATATCAAAAACTCTAAATTCAAATCAAACATACATGTGTGTGTGTTTGAAGGATTTGTGAGAATTTCTACTATTCATCCTATTTTTTTTCCCTAAAAATATCAAATCAAATACCTATTTTTTATTTTTTATATTATACTAAAAATTAATTTTACATTCAAAACATCACGTCAACACTATTTATATCACATCATACAACCATTCAAATTCAAAATTTTTACTATTCAAAATCCAAACCCTATTTTCTCGAATAGCGATTAAAAAATAGCCCTTACTTGATTGAGTAATGAGATATATCAATTCTTATGTGTGGCTGCCTCTCTCTTAATTGTTCCTTCACCTTTATCAACTTCTGAATTGTTTTTTTTCTTTTGAAATTCGCACCGATATTATAGATACATATAGGAAGTCTCTTTAACATATTGTTATTAAAATTATGTAATGTGATAATGTTTTTTTTATATAAAATTTTTTGAAAAAAGAAGTAAAAAAATAATATTTGATTTAATATATTTTTTTAAAAAAATATATCTAATAGGATATATATATGTTTTTAAAGTAAATAATACCTAATTAATTATGTAAAGCTGGTCTAATACTCATGCCTGTCTTACGAGACAAAGAAAGATGTGCCCCTTCCTTTCTTTTGTAAGACGACTCCATGGCCAATACCATCACCATTTCACATGGCCCAAAATAGGAACCGACCCGACCCGACCCGGATCCAAAATAAAATATAATGAAATGCAGGAAATTGGATCATGTGATCCATAATTAATTTTAGATTTGCCGCGCAGAGGTCAACCAAACCAGGTTCGAATTTTGTCATTATCACACAACCCTACCCTACCGCCCACCCCACGCAGATCCATCGCCATTGCCATTGCCATTCCCCAGTATCCCTTCCTCTACCTCTACCTCTACTCTATGCAGCGGCGTCACACACTTGCACTTCGATCTCCTCCGAATTCCTCTGCCTTGGATTGATTTTGTGGAGAAGTTGAAGCTGGTGTGCTTCTCGCTTCAGTCTCCTGATTTTTAGTTGTTTGCATGCTCCAGATCGCTTCATTTTGCGTCAGTACGGTTGGAATTACTCACCTCGCCCTGCGTGTGTATTAATGCGGGAGTGATTTTGTGAACGACTTACTTAATATGGCGCTTGGAGTTCGAAATCTCAAGTTTTTCGCTAGAATTTTGCGAATCTGTAATAAATGTTGCGTGCGGTAGTAGATTGGCATGCAGCGGCCATAGGTCTGTGATAGTGATTAGGTTCATTGACTGCGAGTTTTCAAACTTCTGGAATCCGTGTGTATGAGGTGAAGCCGTGAAGGTTTCCGTTATCGAGGAAAGTGATGTCGGAGAGGCGGGAGCCTCCGACGACGGTGGCGGTGGTGCGTGAGGTTGATCCGTTGCTGAAGGATCTGAGCGAGAAGAAGCAGAGCTTCCGGCGGAACGTGGTGTCGCTGGCGGCGGAGCTAAAGGATGTGCGCTGCAAACTTGCCTCTCAGGAGCAGTGCTTCGCCAAAGAGTCCCTCACTAGACAGGCATGTTGAAGAATATCTTCATTGCTATATAATCAGTGTGTTTTCTAAACTGAGATCAGTGGAAATGATGAGTAGATTTTCCTATTGTGTTGTCCATCCCCATTAAGGTGTATGCAACACAAGTTAGATGAATATCTTATGTCAGATCTTTGAGGTTGTATATGGCTTGTTACTTGTATTGATTAATTTGCTTTTCTATACTAATTTCAACAGAAAGCTGAAAGCAAAGCTAAGATGATGGAGGAAGAGGTAAGAAGATTAAGGAAGAGTTTGGATGAGAGAGATGTCCAGCTGCAGGCTTCAACATCTGCTGCTGAGAGGGTACAGTCGAATTCCCTAATTTTCCATTGTTTTGTTCAGATTTGAGTTTCTTCGAATTATATCCAATTTAGTCTTTGCTTGCTTCTGGCTGTCCTTGTTCTGGTTTATTGTTTGTCTCCGTGGCTTTCATTCTATTCTACCCTTTCTTATTGCGTTTGATGGGGGTTTCCTTTTCCTTGAATGTTTGGCGGATCTGATAACTTTGGATTTCATCATTACTTTGGTGCAGCCAAATCTGAATAATTTCTGTTTTTTCATGGCTTTCCTTTAGGTTTCTGATTTGTTCTAGTGCGAAGTGGAACTATATTCTCTATCTTTTGATTTCCTTAATGGCATAGTTGTATTTTTCAGAATGGTTTCTTCTTATTCTTGAATTTAATTAGAATGGGGCATCTTAAACATTTACTGATTAGATCCATTAATGTTTTATATTATTAACTTTCAATTGTGCTATTTGTTTCATTGTTCATTTCAAATGAATTATATGTTTACATATAATTTTTTGTGCAAACTCTTCCTCGCATTCCTAGCTATCAATGGGAAATTAATGTGTTAGTGCAAAGCAATATTGTGGGTGTAGATATCTTTCAATTGGATATGTGTTCAAATGATCTTTTCTCTGCACTCAGAAGAAGTTTTTGTTCTCTGCTAAATCTAAAGGGATGACTATAATATTGGCACCAGAGTGAAGAAACCTGTTTGTCTCCTGCACATGATTGGATAGACCCCCCCCCCCCCTCCCTCCAAAAAACAATTCTAAACCTTTGAAATGATGAGTCTTAGTAATGCAGCAGTTAATTCATGTAATCTTTTTTGATATTTCTTAATTTATCTTTGTTTCATGCTTTTAACTCGAAACTGTCTTTTTTGGACAAAACATAAAAAATCACTGCAGTATGTCGAAGAATTAGAGGATCTGAAAGTGCAGCTTACGGCCACTAAAGCTACAGCTGATGCAAGTGCAGTCTCTGCTCAATCCGCACAACTGCAATGTTCTGCACTCGTAAAAGAATTACAAGACAAGAATCATTCATTGAAAGAGCAAGAGCTTCGTGTAAATAGCCTCGCAGAGCAATTGGATCTTCTGCAAAAGGATCTTCGCACTCGAGAGTACTCTCAAACACAGCTAAAAGATGAAGTCTCAAGAATGGAGCATGACATAATGCAAGCACTGGCAGATGCCGGATCGAGCAGAGACTCTGAACTCTGGAAAATATTGGACGAAGCGACCCCAAGAAACTTCAATAAGCTTAACCAGCTGTTGGCGACGAAGGATGAAGAGATAGTTAAACTGAGGGATGAAATCAAGATCATGTCAGCCCATTGGAAGCTTAAAACTAAGGATCTGGAAGCTCAGGTACGGAAAATATTAACAATCTATTTCATTTAGGCTTTTCTGGTTTCAAATTCATCTACAAATAACCTGTTTACTCAACAGTTAGAGAAGCATTGTCGAACGGATCAAGAATTGAAAAAGCGAGTGTTGAAGTTAGAGTTCTGCCTCCAGGAAGCTCGATCTCAAACCCGCAAGCTTCAAAGAGTAATACAAACTCATTCCAAACCTTACATACATATATCACTCAAATATATGAACTGAGCATGAATCGGCGTAGATTTATATATATTCCAGCATATGCTATTTTATATCACAGTATATAGTTAGATATGTATAAATATATGCTGATCAACACAGGATCTACAGTCATATGAACTTAATCATCACACACACACATATATGTATATATATCCTTGATACTTTACTACCTCTTTTCCACGAACAGATGGGAGAGCGAAGGGATAAGGCCCTAAAGGATTTAACGGATCAGTTAGCAGCGAAACGGCGTAGGCAAAATGCATGTGCTGATGAAAAGCAAAACTTCTGGGAATCGCCGGGTTTCAAAATAGTAGCTTCGATGTCAATGCTGATCCTGGTGATGTTGTCCAAACGGTAGCATCTTTTAGCCCAGAAACAGTCGAGATGAGCCCGTAGGTAAGTAAGAGTTTTCATTCAGTTAGTTATCTTTGTTGCAATGTGTGTTTATTTCTATGCCAACTTTGTATCAATCGAGTAGAAAAACGGAGGATAGATCATAGATGCATGTATGTACATTGTGCATTTTGTGTTAAATGAGTTCGGTAGCTTTCTTCTAAATACATCTATCTATATATATATATTCCTAAATTGAATTATAAATGTCATGCATCAAGTACGTATTTAAATGTTGTGTATTTGTTTGTTAGTATTTGACATTACAAATATATATTTATGGAGTGTGTTTCAAATATAACTAATTGCGGTGTAATATAATATGCATAAAATGTATTATACTGAATAAAGTTGTTGCAATGACCATAAGCATAAGCTTAATTAAAAGCTAAATTAGTTATCTTTTGTGAAAAAACACTCATAAGTTTTGTACATTAATTAGTCAATATTTCATAAAATGTGCACTTAGTGTAACAACCCAACCAAATCTTGTTGAAAAAGTAGCACGTTTCAATTTATTATTATTTCTTTTCGGAAGAAAATCTATATACATAATTTCACATAATAATTTTACTTGGATGTCCACGAGCAATCGATTTATCAAATTTTAGGATTTATTTTTAAACCTAAAATTTCAATTTTCTGTAAAAACATATCATATTCATATATAAAACATTACAAGTGTTTCATCTAACAAAAGACAAGATTAGAAAACGTATTTCGTTTATTTACATTTACTCTACATATTGTATGAAACCAATATTTGTATTTGTCGAAGAATCACATATTGTAACCTTAACCTGAGTTTCAGCATTACTGATCCAATTGTTATGCTGAAATCTTAACAGAGAAAAGCGTCGTAATAACAAGACAAAATGAGTGCCACACAGCACAATCCCAATCCCAATCCCAATCCAAGAAATTAAATCAGCCAACCAACAACAGAACAGAACAAACATCAAACTTCCAGCATCAAAATCTTATCGATGCAAATCAAATCATGCTGGAAGGAACAGCATAATAGCTACACTATATAATTACGCCGCAGACATGATGCAATCGATTGCTCGCTTGCATATGCCCGTCATGGTGGCCTCCGGTCCATAAACCTGTAGTACATCAATAGAATCACTCGGAAATCTTGCAAGAAAAAAGACTTCTTGAATTCAAGGAATTAAACCAGTAAGATCATCGAATAAAACATCTGTATAACCAATCACTCGATAGATAGATAGATAGATACCTCGATGGGAATTCCCAACTCTTCTCCTAATGCTCGCATTTTCTTCAAACCAGTCTGGTAGTTGGGGCCGCCTCTACGAACATAAAGGTGCATTCTAGCTGCTTTCAGCTTTGATTCCTGACATGGTTTGCACCATTAAAGAAGAAATCTGTTAATTTCCAAAGAATGGATCGATGCGAAGCACTAGAAGGTATTACAACAGTTCAATTGACCTTCTCCTTGAGTGCCCGGATGATTCCATTGAACGTAGCAGCAACATCCGTGAAATTAGCTATGCCTCCTCCGATAAGAAGAGCTCTTTTTCGGCCATCGGGGTCAGCTGTGGCGCACTGAAGCAGCATCAACAGGCAATGGTGTTGGCATTAGATGTGTAAACCAGAGAAATATTTCAAGAATTCATTAATTAATTTGATCCCGTACATCAATGACTACTCTTGCGTATTGCAAGACCTCCTCTTCATTTGGAGCTCCACTGTACTCGGCATAATTACCGAGTTCGGATGCATACCCCAAATCTCCGACCTGCAGTTTTCATTACAGAATAAGGGCTCACATTACTTTACTGAAATAATAGATGTAAATTATGATCAATTCATCGATTGCAGTCTGTGGGAATTGAGACATAAAATAACAAATTTGGTGACTCACTGTGTCGGCATATATCACACTTGCGCCACCACCGGCTACCATTGTCCAAATACGTCCTTTGGGGTTCAAAATAGTGAACTTCAATGATGCACTCGTCTGAAACATAGCATTGAAAAATTGAAATTAGAAACAGAGAATATATATATATATACATACACACACACACACACAAAAGAAAACAAAAAGATCTACTTAAGCATTATGGTGCTACAAGAGCTAAGATATGCCATATAAACTATTCAAGAAATCAAGGGGTGAAAATGAAGGTTTGCGACAGAAAATTTAGAAAAAGCATCAATAAGTCGATATATGTGAAGTTGTTAACATGCAATAATATCATAAATTATTATTATCCATTACTATTTCAATTTTTTTAAACAAAAGCAATCTTTAGAAAGTGCTTTATATATATATATATATATATGACTACAATGAAATATAAAACAGTTCACTTTCAATTGAAAAAAGGTATCAGCACTTGACCAGTTCTTCAGGGCAGAAATCAACAAGTGACATATAGTAGCCGAACATTGATAAAGCGCACTTACTTTTTCATCCAATGAGTGTATGAAAGCCTCGGTTGGGCTCATTACTCTTCCGAAGGGCAGGGGAAACTCTATGTCACCCCATCTAGAAACAGAACAATTAGAGAAATAAGAATAGCATGTATGTTAAACTTAACACAAGATAATAGATATATGATTGTGCATCTTGAAACAATTACATGAACATACTTCTTGAAATTTTTGAAAGCTGCCGTGTCATCCAACTCTCCCCTCATGTCTAGAGGATATGGCTCACCATTCACCAGAGTAAATGGGTTCATCTCAAGAAAAGTAAAATCCAGATCTGAGAATACAAAGATCAAACCCAAAGATGTAAACAGTAGACTTAATTGGTTAAGCATAGATTTAATAAAACCCCAGTAGAGAATGGTTAAAAACAGCTACCCAAATCCTGCAAATTTTGTTTTAGAGCAAAACAGCTTTTTACATTAATCGATTTAAAAAAGAATCAGAATTAGCATCAATTTGGTGTCATATCTAACAGCCTTGCCATTACACAAGTACAAAACAAATTCAAGATTGCCAAGCAACACATACCTTGAAATACAGAAAATACACCAATTATAAAATCGCCTATCTTCCCTCTGACCTGAATCGAGAAATGACAATCAGGATAGTATGAAAATTTTAATATAGGCCATGGAGACCATAGATCATTATTGTTAAGAAAGAGATTTGGGGCTTCATCTTAAAATCAATTGGTGATAAGAGGAGTTGGCTCTCACTCTATAAACTAGGAGGGCTCCCGACATATTTTCTACGTGAGACAACTTAACATAATTATAAAACAAAGAAACAACAAATTCTAGAAATTAAGAACTTATAGATAATAATGCTAAACTTCATGATCCCCAGCATGATCATAAGACATGAAACAACTGTATCCAGAGGCAGTTATTCAACAACAGTATATAGAAGCCTACTATCATTCGTATAACTAACAACATTTAAATAAACTAAGTTATCAAGACCCACCTCTAAGGGAAGTGTAGCTATCAATGGTGCACATGCTTCCAAGTTCATTGGCTTTTCAGTTGGCAAGAAGATAGTCTTAACCTGAAAAACAACAAATTAATTTATTTCATTTCATTTAAATCATAAACATGATCTCCATGAACATTATATTGGTGAAATCTACCTTGTCCCAGTTCTCTTCAATTTCTATACCTCCACATTCCGAGAAGCTAATGGTACATCCTAGCCTCTCAGACATTATAGAAAGGTAGTATTCCTCGTCGTGGGGGACAAAAGGCTCGATAATAAATGTAGTAATCGGTGCTTTAGAACCGCCCATTTCAACCTAGATCAAAGAAATCAATGATAATAATATAATAAATTTTGTTTCAAAGTATTATGGTCGAATTAGGAGAAATCAAATCAACGGTCATTCATATACATGTCTACCTCAACACCAAGGCGTTCCTTAACAAATGAAGCAGACTGCGCAACGTCTAAATTCAACGCAACCAAGCCGCTCTTCCCTCGTTTCCCAAACAACATGTCGGGCTTTACAACCAACTTTGTGGATGAAAGCCATGGTTCTTTGTCTGTTAGCTCAGAAAAATCCGTTGATTGTGTCACCTGAAATTACATTTATTTGGAATAACAGCTCTTTGATCAAGTAAAGCTATACACAAACCCAACAATAGATATCTGAGGTAATTCCATGTATATTTGAATAAATGACAAAAATAAAACGCCGGCAGTAACATAATTCAAGCAACAAACAGAAACAGATAACGTTGTTAATAACTCTTTCCAAAACCATCTAAGAAACAAAAAGGAAAGTTACGAGGTATTTAGTCCAAGTCCTCGATCCAATTGCTGGACAAAATGATCAAATTTCAGATGCAACACAAACATGATTCAGGGTCGATTATCAGGGAAATCACGACGACTACCATAAGCTACCTTAATTCCCCAATCAATTTAGATAACCGATTCAGTACTCATTTCAAATTCCAGACACCGAGCAATGGCCATTGAAGATCAAACCCCTATCCAACTGAATTCCCCCAAAACCGCAACCGGTGGCAATGCATAGAGAGTTGAAACACAAATTATTATAAGGAAGCATCGATCAAATCGAGGAAACGAATACCTGCGCAGATCGGATCTGGAGGTCTATTCCGGCTAATCTTTTGAGATGCGCCTTGAGCAGCCTTTTGGAATCGTACTCCCTGATCTTCTTCCTCGCCATCAGTTAGTCAGTCAGTCTGCAACGAGAAGTGAGCTTCTGCAGTCGGAAAGAAATGGGAATTTCACCTAACAAGATTTTGATGAGCACTTAGAGTGAGAGAGTTGGTTGAATCATGGGAGGTGCGGTGTGGTTATATATGAATAGCAATTTGGCATTGGCAATATCGACAAAGAAAGGACTCGTGGGGTTAGGTGGGACGATAGGCATTGGCGATAGGGTAGTTTTACAGAGTTTTTGTTTTTTTGTTTTTTTTGGGCAAATAGAGTGGTAGATATTGGCTGTGTTTGTTTTGTAATTTTTTTAAAGATAAATTGTACAAAATTCAGCTGTGATTTTATGAAATTGCCGGCCAAATTTTTATATTTCTAAATCTAGCTCAAACTTTCTCATGATTTTATAAACTCTCTTGTTAACTGTATTTGACCTAAATGCCTTAATTGCAAATGAATTTTTTTAATATTAATTTTTAAACCCCTAAAATTACAAATATATTCAATTTTTTTTATTTATATTTACACTTAAAAAAATAGTAAATATAAAAATTAACATTTTAAAATTTATTCTTAATTTGAGCATATTTAGATCAAATACCGTTAAATAAGAACCGTCGAGGATTAGACACAGACTTTATGAAACCACGAGAGAATTTGACGCCAATTTTAGAAGTACGAGGATTTGACATAATTTTGTAAAACCTGAGTGGATTTTGTGTAATTTAGTCTTTTTGTTTTTATAAATAATGCTCCCTTCTATATTTTGGATTTGGGATTTATAGTAGATAAATATTTTATTATCAGTGGAAGTGTTTTGAGAAGTTTTGATATTTTTGTATAAAATAATTGTATATGTAATGATATATTTATAATTTAAATAAAAATTGATATTTTAATAATAATGTATAAATTTTTTTAAATAAAAAAAATATTTTGAAATATGACAAAAAATATAAGAAATTTTTTTTTTTCAAATAAGACTGAGAAAGTATTTATTTATTTTTATTTTTACTTGTCCATATCTTTTTTATTTTTTTTAAAATTACATTTTCCACGTAGATACAGAAATATCACTAATTTATTATATATATTATTTTTATACTAAAAAACAAAAATAAAAAATTTAGATACATTTTATATTCCCATGCCAAAAGTAAATAATAAAATTATTAGTGGAATGAATAGGTATAAAAATTAATACTCCAATTTATATTAAAATTAGTTATAATTTTAAAAAGAATATAATAATATTTTTATATAAATGGTATGTATATATTGTATTTTTTTATAATGTTAATAAAAGATTAAATAAAAAAGAATGAATGAATGATTATGGTCAAAGTTTTTACAGAATTTAATAATAATTAAAAAGTTTTAATATTTTTATTTAAAATTAAGTATAGTAGTTGATATAGTTTTTAAATAAAATACTTATTATTAAATAGTAACAAAAATGTATGTAATATATTACTTTTTGGAGTATTTTTACAAGAGATTTTGGTGTTTTAGAAATTTTCAAAAATAAGTAAAGCATTAAATATTAATATAATATTTTTATAAGAAAAATTAATTATTTAAAATGATATTAAAATATAAAATATTATTTAAACAAAAATTTAAATTAATTGCAACCCATAACTAAACAATACTAGATTTTCTGAATACCAGATCTATAGCCTTTTTCTTGAATATATATAAAATGATAATGGATATTCTATTAAATATATACTACTACTATTCTATTCATATACATTAATTAATAATTTTTTTTTTTTTTAAATCTGAATATAATTTTTATTAACTTGTTTTCAACAATCTTCACTATTAATATTATAAAAAATATATAACATATATTCATATTAAAATATATACTACTATATTCTATTCACTTTAAAAAAATTGCATTCTAATACAAATATTATGTTCTATATTAAAAAAATGTTTTTGGTTTTTAAAATAAACAAAACTTCAAATTAAAAATAAAAACACACCCTTAATATTTTTGGTGGGTTCATTTCGTGTTTTTAAATAAATATATTTTTTATATTAGGTACGAAGAATGTATTAGTAATATAAAATTAATATTTTATATTGAATTATTCATTTTTATAATTAATAAAGTATATATATAATATATATTTTATTAATATGGATATATATGTATATTATAATTTTATAAATTTGTAAAGAATTGTCTCAACTAAAAAATGTTAGGGTGAACAAATTCTTATTTGACATAAATACATATATTTAACGATAAAAAATAAGAAAAAATAAATAGGGTTGGTTTGTTTTGATTTTGATATTATAATAATATTTTGCTATATTTTGGGTAATTTTTTGATGCAAAATTTTGTATATATATGCTTCTCCTGGTGTGTTTTTTATTGTATAATAGGTTTGATGAAGTTGGCAAGTTTTGAGGTATATTTGGAAGACAATGAGCAAATACAAGAAAGCTTTAGGCGTGATCACGTAAGTACATATATGGAAAATATGAAATTTACAAAAAAGTCATCCGGAATAAATTGAAAATATAAAGATTATATGAAGATTTAAGTGCAAAGGGAATCTATTTAAAGAAGATCTTGAGATGGAGTTGAAGAGACACGATTTGCAATTGAAGAGGGAAAAAGAAGGGTTTTACCACGACAATATATTTTTTCTTAAAGGGAGGAGGAAGAAAGAAGAACACTGAAGAGATGAGAACTTAGAGGAGGATTGCAGACGATTTTTTGGGACGTTCTTCTTCTATTTTCGTATTGTTCTTCTTTGTCGATTTCAAAATTGAAGGCATGATGAAATTTTTTATTTGTTTTGTGTTTTCAATTCCTATGAATTCCGAGTAATTTCATTTTTAGTGTAGGTGTGAATTGATGTTTGAGATTGAAATTGTGAGACTTAATTTTGTTTAGTTGGGTGTGCATCGATATTTGGTATTTCTAATTCTTCTAATTTATAAATTTAGAAATCTTAAATTGATTATTGCACACGTATTGATTTGAGATTTCATAGCTAAATTGGAGATTGACACTTGTAATTGTGTAATTTTCCAATTGGTGTAGCAACCTAGAGGAATACTCTAGGGAAGAATTAGAATCAATTTTAAACAAATTCGCGTAGGAATTTTGTTAAATTGAATTGGACATTTCTAATACTTAAAGTTGTCGAGCCAGTAAAACTACGGTCGTACCTAGAATTCTCACTCGATTAGAACTTTTGATGCGATATAATGCTTTATTTTGATAATTTTCCTGCATATCCTCTTGTATATTTGAACCGAGGTTGTTGTACTTACTTAATTCATTAGGATCTTGTCGTGTTGTCGATGAAGTTAGATGACGAGTGTGCTTAGCTTTCTAACAAAGAACCCTTAAGTGAGTTATTTGAGCCTTATTTGAGCAAATTCACTCATACATATCATATATGCTCAACTTTTCTTGGATTGTGTGAACATATGTTGTATTTGAGTACTTAAAACTTGCTTGCTTATGCTTATTGACTCCGCGTTTATTGAAAATTGATGGGATTAAAATGATAAGCCACTAGGATTACCCGTGTTGGCCTTAATTTCATATCTTCACCTATATTATCCCTTAGTGAACCAAGTTTGAGCTTAATGTTATTATCTTATTTTTCTTGGTTTATATTTAACCCCCAAGCCGGTAAGCCCTTTTATTGGATTAAGCAAAACGCGTACTTGAACCCATGGGAACTTGAGGAATTGTTCTTTGTTTCATTACATTAGATTATTTAAAGTTGCATTCATTATACGATATTATTCCGAAGTTGTACTTGAAAGTATTCATATTGTGGTATAGTTATAAATTCATATATATTTTTGCCAAAAGTATCTTATTATCTAGCCCCTTAAAATAATAATAATAATAATGACAAGGGGCTGAAAAAAAAAAAAAAACTATTCCGAGTCCTAAAAAAAAGACTCGTGTAAAAGAAAGAAAATATATTCTTGTATTGCATTGATCATCGCTTGTGAAGTATTGTGTTGTTCTTGTTCATTCATATATGCGACTTGCGCTTATTGTGATGTGATGAATTGATAGATTAATTCCTCGGTCCCATTAGCCGTTAATATCATATTTTCTACCCCAACCATGGCCCCATTACAATATTTAATTAAGACCTTTGATTATGAACGTTAATTTCTTGATGAATTGTGGAGTTGATTTGATTTGCTTGCAAGCCTATGGGGTTCGTCGTTTACTTTATATGCATTGAGTGGATATAACCTAAACACTTGTGGGCGAGAGCTTTACTTTTATACATTCCAAATTTGGTGAGGTTAGTTGGTTCTTGCATGCTTTGAATCTGACATAATTGATAACACGGCTAAGTGACTTTTGCGCTAGTGAGTACAAGTATGGAATAGGTGTGGGGGAATTGATATGTATTGTATATGATAATATTTTACTATATTTTGGGCAACTTTTTGATGCAAAATTTTGTATATATGCTTCTCATGGTGTTTTTTGATTGCGTAATAGGTTTCATGAAATTGACAAGTTTTTGGGTATACTTGGGAGACAATGAGCATAACGCAAGAAAGTTTTAGGCTTGATCACACAAGTACATAATATGATAAATATGGAATTTACAAAAAGGCCCTCCGGGGTAAATTGGAAATATAAAGATTATGTGAGGATTTAAGTGCAAATGAGATCTATTTAAAATGGGATCTTTGGATGAAGTTGAAGAGACACGATTTGCAATTGAAGAGGGGAAGAGAAGGGTTCTACCACGACAATATTTTTTTTCTTAAAGGGAGAAGGAAAAAAGGAGAACACGGAAGATAGGAGAACTTAAAGGAGGATTACAGACGGCTTTTCGGGGCATTCTTCTTCTATCTTCATATAGTTCTTCTTTGTCGATTTCAAAATTGAAGGCATGATAAACTTCTTTATTTGTTTTGTGTTTTTAATTTCTATGAATTCCGAGTAATTTCATTTCTAGCGTAGGTGTGAATTGATGTTTGGGATTGAATTTATGAGACTTACTTTTGTTTAATTGGGTGTTCATCGATATTGGGTATTTCTAATTCTTCTAATTTATAAGTTTAGAAATCTTAAAGTGATTATTGCGCACGTATTGATTTGAGATTTCGTAGTTAAATTGAAGATTGACACC